CAGACGTTATGGACTGCTTAATTATCTAACTATCTTTTTTAGCCGTTTTATTGTCTTCAAAGCTTAAAAGGCTATGCAATCTAAAAAATCTAACCAAAATGCGGCCAATTTTTATTTTTTGGCCACCCAGATGGAATCATGAAATTCGTTTGCGGCCAATTTTTTATTTCTGGCCACGTAAAAAAAATAGTATTCATATGCATCCCGATAACGCATTCACTTGTATGACATCATTCGATTTCGTCATAAAATAGACTATTTTGTGGTCAATGATGCATTGATCAGTATTCTGCATTTTCAGATTCTGCCATGTAGCATTCGTGTCCATCGTCAACACGTGTTGACGGTCATCTATAAGTATCACTCCAGGAAAGGTGTTAATGGCGTTTTTTTCTTGTCATTGAAAAATCTTTGATGACATTTTTTTTTAAATCTTACTTTTGTGTATCACTTTTCTGTATTGGTATATCAAAAAATTGGATAATGACAGGTAAGCATATAAATCCCATACATAGTATTGTAATTAAAATATATATGATTAAGCGTGAGTTTAGTGGCGTTTTTTTAAAAATATTTTTGTCAGTAGTTGTCAGTAGTTGAATATGATCAACTACTGACACCTTTCTTAGTCTAGTTGAGCTTCCTAGTCTTTTTCTCTTCTTTCTTGATTACTTTATTATAAGTGTCAGTAGTGTCAGTAGTAAAAAACTAAAATTCTAGGAAAAAAAAATGAAACTTTTCCTATATATGTGGTATATGTACGTATACATAAAAAAAAAAAAAAAAGTACAAAAATCAGAAATCGGAAAAATACTACTGACACTACTGACACTTATTGAGAAGACTCGCTTTCGGTCTTGGAACTCCAGGAAAGGTGTCAGTAGTATTTTTTTTTACTACTGACAACTGCTGACACTTAATTGGAGGGTATTTATATGCCGGAATTTTCTCAACTATAATTTACTCCCTCCCCTTCCACTTCAGATGACTCCTGGGTGAGCTTTTCAGACTTTTTCCGATAGTATTCTGCCTTGCTTCGGTGTTTTTTAGCATGAGTATCGCAAAAACCATAATCAGAATTAGTTAACTTGCTACACTCTCCGCAAGGAACACATGGTGGAGAATCCCAATGAACTCTACAGCCTTCTGGGCGGTAACATCCCCGGTTACATTCCTTACCAGTTCTAAGAATATAGGAGCAACGGAAAAATGCCATATGTATACAATATGATGACAATATATAGTGAAAATAATTCTGTTTTTGAAACCCCTGAAACCTCCTTTGAGGACGCTAACAGTGCCTTCTTTCACCGGGGGGGCCAAAGCTTTTCTGAAATCACAGATTTCAGAAAATGGAAAAGCAGAACAATTACTTCAATACTTATTCCACTATTTTGGCGGTGATTATTTAGGAATCCCAACTCGCAACGATATAGTTGCGGAAAATGATGAGGGTTTGTCTGCAATTCTCAATAATGCTTTAGCTAAACGAGAGGAAATCCCTTTCATGGCTGTCGATTTTGAGGGTTCATCGGAAAAAATAGGTGAAAAAAATCATTATGTTTTGCGTCTCTACGGCTCTCTCATTAATGGTCAAAAAGCAGTAGTTACCCTTACAGGAATCCAGATTTTCTTTGATATACTTGTGCCTGATAAAGAATTCATAGACGATTTTAAAATAAAAATAGACGTAATTCTCTCTAGTGTTATAAATACCTATAAAATAGAATATATTAAGGCCTTTCCTTTGCGTGGTTACCATACAGAAAAAAAGTCATATTTACGAATTTTTACACTTGGTAGTGGGGATAGGAAGAAAGCTCTCCAAGCTATCCAAGATAACAATTTCGAAACCGCTTCAGATGATATGTTCTCATTCCACCGTAAAATAGCTAGAGAAAATGGAATTGCGATTTCTGGTTGGTCTATGATAAGCAAGTATAGATACAAGAAACATTCCCATTATACACACGATTTTCAGGTTTCTATAAATGATTTTCGACCAGTAGAAGATCTAAAAATGATAAGTGACCGTTTTCCGATTTCAGCACTCATGAGAGATCATACGCTTATCCTTACATGGGATATAGAGACACAATCACGAGAGTTGGGCGAATTTGCTGAAATACATGATGAAGAAAGTATTGTATTTATGATTTGTATGACCTTACACTGGAAAGACGATCCAAGACCGTTAAAACGAATCTGTCTTGTCAATCTTGAAACTGCACCAGACCCACAATGGATAACAGTTGTATGTGGGAACCAGACAAATTTACTAAAAGCGTTTGCATTATGCTGGAAGGCCTTCCTCCCTGATATTCAATTCGGATTTAGTGATTCCGAATACAATTGGCCATTTATTATAGAAAGAGCTTGCAGACTTAATCTTCTCGAATGGATGTGGAAGCAAATGACGGGAAATTTTAAATCATCAGAAGAAATTCAAAAATGGAATTATTACGGGAAAATAGGTGTGAAATCTAAAAATAGTTTTCAAATTAAAAAAGGCGCCATTGATAATAATGAGGAGGAAAATGATAGGATACAATCAATTATAATCAAAATTAGTCCAGAAGATAATTATATTTCCACTTTTCTTAAAATACCAGGTTGTGTACCAATTGACATACGCGCATGTTTTATGAAACTCTACCCTCGTGCAGAAGTTGATAAAAAAAGTTCACTTGCATTTTATTTAAAACTATGTGGACTTGATAGTAAAGCGGATATGCCATATAACAAAATGTGGAAAATCTATTCAGAAGCGAAAGAGAGTGTTTCTCTAAATAAATCACATCCTTCTACTATACAAAATATGTGTAAAGTAGCACATTATTGCATTATAGATGCATTGCGTTGCCAGGAGCTTATGGTTAAGCGGAATGTAATTAATGACTATAGGGAGGTTGCTTCTATAGCTTATGTGTCTTTGTTTGATTCACATTATTGGGCAAATGGAATGAAGGTGCGAAACCTTCTAGGCGCTTATGCCACTAAACGTAATATACTAATTAGTACGAGACAATGTAAAAATATAGAAAAAGGCAAGTATCCTGGCGCGTACGTATTTCCACCTAAAAAAGGAATTGAGACAAAAAGGCCTGTCACAGGATTGGATTTCGCATCTTTATATCCCAGTCTCATTATGGCTTACAACCTTTCTCCAGAAAAAATGATATTAACTTATAGAGAGGCTGATATTGTACAAAAAAATAGAAATAACTTGCATAAGATTGAGTTTCCATTTAATAACCGTATTATTCATGCCTGGTGTATAAGACATGATAATCAATTTGAGAAGAAGGGTTTGTATCCTATTGTATTAGAGGATCTATTCAATAAGAGAGTAAATCTTAAAGCACAGCTTGTCTCATTAGGAAAGAAAAAGGAACACCTTGGGAAAATGATAAGTTCAGTTAAAGAGAAAGGTAAAAAAATCCCAGAAAGCTTAAATTCAGAATATTTATCCATATGTTTTGATTATAATTGTTTAAATTCCAAGCAGTTCGCTTTAAAGGTATATATGAATACTTTTTACGGGGAAGCAGGAAATAGCAAATCTCCATTCTTTCTTCATGAATTAGCTGGAGGGATCACTTCCGCGGGTCAGTATAATATTGATCTTGTTGCTAAATTTGTATCTGGGAAAGGTTTTGGAATAAAATACGGGGATACTGATTCTTTATATCTTACATGTCCAGATAAGTATTACGAAAAATATGATAGAGCTTTTAATGAAGATAGACTTTCCAAGGAGGAATACTGGTCTGAAATGGTTAAAATTACTATGGATGTGATGAAAAAGTTGCGTGATCAAGTAAATGCTTATCTTAGGATTAAAAACGGCACATCTTATCTTAAAATGGCATACGAAGAAGTATTATTTCCTGTTTGCTTTACTGGCAAGAAAAAATACTTCGGTGTACCGCATGAAGGGGTTGTCAATTTCAAACCAGATAATCTCTTTAAAAAAGGGATTGATAGTATAAAGCAAGGCCAGTCCCAGCTTTTCAAATTTATCGGGGAAAAAATCATGTGGGAAGCTATGGATATAAATAATACACGATCAATTCATAAAATTGTTGAAGATACTCTCAGAGAGGCCAAACATAAGCAATGGGACTTTAGTCAATTTATTGGGATGGCTACATGGAAGCCTAAGAAAAAAAACCTTCGTGTTCAGCGTTTTATAACTTGAATGAAAGAAAAAAAAATGAATATCCCAGATCCTGGTGAACGCTTCAGTTATGTAATAATAAAGGGTGAACGTTATCGTGATGAAAAAGGTCGATTAATACCGTATAGACTTGGTGATTATATGGAATATCCAGAGTTTGCAAAAGAGCAGAACATGGAAATAAATATCAACCACTATATAGAAAGTACTTTGGGATTATGTGCGCGGTTTATTAACGAAGACGAGAAATATCAACCATTATCTACACATAAAATTATGCAACTCAAAGATTCAGATGAGAAAGAAAAGCAGATTGATGCATATTCCCAAAGAGAAGCTAAAAAATGGCTTACGAAATATGTTAAAGCCTTGAATTGATTAGCTGTGCTATTATATTGTTAAGTATTCTTGGTTAGAATTGACAGACTCCACTAAGATACTTATACATCATTAATAATATTTTTTCATACATAAATAATATCGAAGTTTAAAAAATGGATCATCGAAATTTTTTTACTTTGGTATATCACTTTGGATCAAAAAATTGGATCATACCGATTCGAAATTTTATTCTTACTTTTGTGTACTACTAAAAAATTCGATCATACTTTGACGTATTACCTTGGCGTATTATGTGTTGAGTCGAATACCAGAACCATTTTCAGATTTGGACTTCGTAGATTTTTCTTTATTCCAAATAATAAGCTTATGCACAAACCGTATAATTAGTATTGCTATTATTATAAGAATAACAAGCTTAACAATGGGAGGGATTCGATACTTATCATTAACCAAGGTTTCACATACCCCTAATGCCCCAATAGGTAATATCTCGGCCATTTTTGTTTTAGTCGCATAACTTTGATCATTTCCAATGAAATCAGTTTTAGAGATGACTTCTTCCGAAAAATCTTTAGTCTCTACTATTTGTGAAATATCAGCGTTACTGGTAGAAGACTTCATATTAATTGATCTCGAAGAATCGAGTATTTGAGGCTTTGTCTCGTCATTAGCCTTATTTACGGTATCACTGGATTGGGGTATATCGATTTCTTCTATCTGGTCCATATTTTTTTTTCGTAAATATTTACTAAGATTTTTTATAGTAATAGGTTTATTAACTGCAAAGATATCAGATGCGAAAGCATCCTCACTCCGTGAGACGGAATTCGATATTTTTTTTTCATCCATCTCACCACCGATCTTGACTGGTTCTGCTGATAACCTGATTTCTAAGGAGTGTATCTCTGAAGTTTTCAAGGCCAAATCATCTTTCATTTGTTTCAATTCGTCATCTTTCGATGCCAATACATTTTCCATATGCGCCAATTCACTATTTTTCGAAACTAGATTAGAATTTAAAGCAGATAATTCGGTCCTAAGGGGGGTAATCTCAGATTCTTTCATAGACAAGTCCTTCTGAGCCGAAGATAATTTCGTCTTCAATGCTTCTATCTTAGATAAGAAATCTTTCATCTCTTTGGATTTTGACGAATCTTGTCTTTGAAATTACTAAGTAAAAGATCTTTATCAGTAATGCGGGATTTGAGAGTATCTATTTTTGAGCGTAATTGTTTAACCTCGTCTATAAGCCGATATATATGATTGGAAAGCTCCTTATTATTTTGACGTAATTGAGCATTCTCCTTATTGATATTTTTGGTACGATTCGAGTATACCACTTGCATATTTTTATATTCACTAGTAATTTCGGAATTGGACTTGATACTATTATGTAATGCCACCTCGAGTTCCTGTTCGCGGATACTGCCAAGCCTATACCCCTCCCCTTGTATTTTTTTGGATTCCGTACTCTTGGTATCTCGTAATGTACGTACATTGGCCATTCATATATTCTAAAAAAAAATGCCGCTAAAAAAATAAATAAGTAATGGATTTACTACGCAAGATACATACTGTCATAAAATAATTAAATATTAATAATACTGATAAAATACAAGGCTTTTAATTTACAGAATCATGCCTAGATATCTAAGAGCCGATGCAACTCCCCTTTCACCTGAAGCAATTTGCGAGATTATGAATGCTAAATATACAAAAAATGTATTATCAGTTTTAGTCAAAAAGTATAAAATATCAAACACACGTATTTATAAAATTTGGCGAGGACAAGAATACTATGCTGGTCTTACATTTAAGGTTGATCAAAATCAAAATATTGATTGGGATAAAGAAATCGAAAGTATATATGATTTATATGCAGAACTTCCACCAGAATCACACCAATCTATAACCAATCCCTCATAGGTACACTATCTGGATCGCATAAATGTCAAACTAATATATTACGGAGTAAATTATATTGTACTAATTGCAGTCATGATAATTCATATAGTGCAGGACATCTATAACTGGGGTGTTACAAATTATAATAAACACAAACATAGTTGAGCACACATATAAAAAATCATATGTGCGGATTTTTCG